TCTGAAAAGCATACAAGAACGGGTTCAAAACAGACTCCAAAAAATACAACACACTTGCTGCTTTCCTGTGTTTTCTTGGGAATCTATCTCCATCTATTGCCGACAAGGAAGCTGTGATAACCAAAGGGAAGAAACAAACTACGAATGTTTACTGTTATCAAGAGAGAAAGCTTGAGGAGCTTTTGCTTGTCACGAGTTTCTTCCTCTGTCGCAATGTTCTGTGGTGCCACTTTGTTCTTGAAGTAGAGCTCACGAACAATTTGAAAGTAACAGAAACTGATGACGATGAAGGGAATGAAAACAATTATGCAGAGCAGATGTATAACATAGATGTTTTGAATATGATAACTGAGATTGTATCTACAAGACTTTCCTTTGCCTTTCACTAGATTGCCAAACTCACCATAGACGTAGTAAGGGGAAGTTACAACCACGGAGACCAACCAAACTACGACTATGGCGTACTTTACAGTTCCTTCTTGTAGCCTTATCCAAGTATTCATCGGCTTGACGACAGCGTGGTATCTCTCCACAGCAAGTACTGTCAGTGTTATGATAGACACRATGCTAGTAGTTAAAGGTATGTGATAAGATATGACAAACTTACAAAGAAAGTCAGCTAAATATCCTTTTTCTAATGCAACATGTTGGTTAATGAACACCAGAGGTAAGAATGTCAAGTTGATAATGTCTGCTATGGCGACGTTCCGCAAAAGATAGTTTGTTGTGGACCGCAAGGATCGCTTTCTCCACACTGAAATCACAATCAACAAGTTACCAGCGAGACTTATGACGATAAGCAGCATCACAAACAGAATCAGCAATAGTTCGTTTATTGTCATCTTGGATATCTTTGGTTGCTAATTCTATATAAGACAGCACCCTGTTACTTGCGATCCATTTGAGCGTGAGGTGTACCATAAACAGTAAGCGTGTGTTGTACTATTGCAAACTTTCACTTTTCATTAGCCGCGCGCCAGGGAATTAAACATCTGGTAATAAAAATAAGAATGAATAAAAATAATTTTGAAGTTCTCTCTTGTGATCTAAAAGAGGTCTCAAGTGTTTACTATAGTCTAGGGATATTGTTATATATCTTCTTACCTCAAGGAATGTCGTATTATGATATACGGCTGCTTTTTATTTCAAATCTCCGAAGAACAGTGTAGCGTCTGATTCATGGAATAAAGCAAAGTTAAGAACGATGGGCAAAAGATCCCATCGTCAGATTTTTTTATTTTGCATGATGAAAGTACATCATACTAGAAGTAAAATGAGCAAATAAAAAATGGGGGTCACAGACTTCGTTGAGTAGACAGATTGCGTGGAAGTTACCCTTTTATACGTTAAAAGCGCACGCACAACGTCAAATATGAAAAGTTGTAAAAAATAACTAATTTTCTACTGAAAAAAAGAAACAACAAAAACAACAAAAAAACAACAACATCAAATAATTAGTTAGATTGAAAAAATTTGTGTTAAAAACTGATTAGAAAAATAAAATGTTATTGGGCTACAAGTGTGGACATGGAACCTTTCTATATTCCAATTAATAATAATAATAATAATAATAATAATAATAATAATAATAATAATAATAATAATAATAATAATAATAGTAATAATAATAATAATAATAATAGTAATAATAATAATAATAATAATAATAGTAATAATAATAATAATAATATTATAGTAATATTATGATGTGCTTATTCATTGCTGCTCTAAGCACACAAAAGAGTAATACTAGAATAGACAAAGAACTAATTACAGAGATACGTTTACAAATTATATACTTGTTTGAATAGATAAGTTTTTAGGGTTGTCTTGATCGAAAAAAATTATCGATGGTTCTGATATAATGGAAGGGGGAACAGAGTTCCACAGTTCAGGACCACATACGCGGAAAACGAACGATAACCATAAGTTTTTAGACGAATTCTTTTTACGATTTAATTGAATGAACGTGAAGATCTTAGATTTCTTGGGGGTTTGTGTTGGGAAATCCAATCAGAGATGTAACATGGAGCCAGGTTATATTGCGATTTAAATGTTATTAAGAGGATCTTGTTGAAGCTGAATTAAATTTGGAGTTATGTGGCAGTGCTTTCTTGATCGAGTAATCACACGAACAGCAGCATTTTGAACAGATTGAAGTTTTGCAATGAGACAATCAGGAGGCCATAAAGAAGACAATTAAAGTGATCCAGTTTAGACGTATAGGGGCGATAGAAATTTTCTAATTTTAACAATGTTGCGAAGATGATAGAAGGCTGATTTACGGATCGAATTAATTTGTGAAGTCATTGTCATTGTTGAATCGAAGATTACTCCAATATTCCGCACAGTCTTTGATGGTATTATGATGTTATTTCCAAAATGAAGATGAGGGATGGACTTTTGTGGATGGATTCGATCCCATCGTCAGATTTTTCATTGTCCTCTAAAGTTCGGTATTATGAAATACTTTTGAAAAACGAAATTAAAAAGGAGGGTGCTCAACTTTGTTTTAGAGCTGTAATAGATTAATGAAGGTTCAATGAAATTTTGTTTATCAGAACATTTAAATGACTTAATTTATTAAGCTTTTCCAGCTATAGTACGGTTATATAAATAAGCTTATGTTCGTGTTGTTGACTTTTTCTTGTAAGGCCTTGTCTTCTTTCACTTTAAAAAAGCTAGAAAAATATTCGGAAAAACATTTACCTATGCCAATAATGCCAATAAAATTATATCTATTTTGCATTAATAAATCTGTTTATGTTGTTTGTGTCAAGTTAAACTGAGTGTAAAATTCTATTTTGAAAAATTTTGTCGTTCGTAATTTCCGCATTTTTTCACACTTGAAAACAGATGAAAAATGGTAAAATCGAATCTCAACAAAACCCAGTAAGCTTAATTTTTAAGCTTGTCGAAGAATATTTAAGGCCAATATGGAAGAATTTAAAATATTTCCTGGAATGGTCCTGGAATGCACTATTCAGTATATGTTCTTTGTTGAGTTTGGCCGCCGCCATCTTTAAACAGGATTAAGTAATGGTCAATTTATTATCCCGTTCTTGGTGCAATGTTTCATAATTTTTACGAACTTCACTTAGCTTTATTTAAAAGGTTGGCAATGTTGGCCATGTTATTGTGGCATATATGTAATTTAACCCAGTCAATAAAAAAAATTTATCCACCTTAAAAGTTATAAACTTGCTTCCAAGATTTGCATTTGACCAGAGAGCTGGGGTAACATCGAACAAGTTACAGTCTAATATATTTTTCTGTCAGAGTCCACAGAATTTGAACTAGAAGAAGATGAAGATGATAAAGAGGAGACGAAGGAGAAACATAGGATACTGAGCATGGTACATGGTGCATTTGTACAGTACATTACACCCTATTATATGTAAATGTATTTTCCGTAATAGAAATATGTATTATCAAATTTATTATTTATCATTATCATTGTGGTCTAGATTCGGTACAAATGTTATGAGGAGAGAAAACGAATCTTTTTACAGACAAACTAAGCAAGACCACAGGGAGCCCGGCTTTGGAATTTGTACACGAATAAATAAATCAATAAAGTGCTTTGAGTTTCCTTTGTTGAGATTTGAAACAAGACGCCAATGATAAATAAATCAATAAAGTACTTTGGGTTTCCTGTGCTGAGATTTGAAACAAAACGCTGATACGTTGAATTTCCGATAATCGTACTACCAGTAAATTGATAGCAGATTAACGTAACATATCAGTGTAACGCACGCCTCTTTCTTACCATTTACTAGGGCGTGCGTTACACTAATACGTTTAAAAAATTGAATTATAAGCTGCTCTCAAGTTACTTAAGATATAAGATTACAGCAAGGCTATCATCACGCACAAATTTACGCTTTACACACTTTCTACCCTTTGCTCAGTTATTTTAGGATTATTCTCTAGAATCTTATGTTAAAATATTCCTCGTAGCCTTTTCTATACATTTACAATATATTTATATATTAACTTTAGTTTAAGCTATGTTTAATTCCAAGATTTTCATTCGTATTACTCGTTATTAGGATAACGCACTTAGGTATTTACTATTTCTTCTAGTCAATCATGATTCAACGATATTATCACATTGATTAAAGAATGACACTTGTCATAGAATTATCATAAATATAGCTCGTGTAATTAGTTCAATACAGAGAGTAGAATAAAGATCCCGAAGCTCATACCGAGAGCGGTCGTCCCATAACACAAACATATTTTATTTTAACATGCCTAATATGATGTTGTTTGTACAGAATCTAGACCTAAATTCATCCTTTTTATCGAACTCATAAAAAAGAGCAGGGTCACAACACACTTCATCACACCCCTGTCATCTATTTCAACAAGCACTGACTTATTTCCGTTCTTGTGATCGGCTGTGGCTGTGTACATGACATATAAGCAGTTGCTTGTTATATATAGCTTGGACTGTTTTACGAGTTCAACCGTACTAGCAATCCTTCTAGGCTAAGTTTGGTTGCATAGAAAGGTCTTTCAGTCCCTGAGTTTTCTTATATTTAATGGGGACGATCGAAGCAGAGAAGAAATGGCGTGAAAGCCTTCAACAAGCAGTTTCGAATCAAGACGTAGAGAAGTTCCACGAAGCTGTCAATCAATTACCAGACGGAAAAGCTCTGTTGCAGAAGGATCAGTACTTTTTGAACTCTTTAATCAGAACAGCTTTGCAATTTGAGAATGACAAACTACTTGACGCTTTCCTGGAGTATGGAGCAATTGGCAAAAGTCTTGTGTATACTTCTACTGATGGTTCACTGAATAGAGCTAAAAAGATTTTGGAGAAAATAGAGAAATTAAAACAGGACTGCCCACAAAAAGTCTATCTCGGCCCGAACGACTTTACCAATGAAACCGATATAAAACTCCACTGATGATCGCTATAGAAATGAAGAACTACGATGTAGTAGAATATTTTGTTAGTAAGGGATATGGCAAGATTGACATTCTTACAGATGATGGGTTGCGTAAAGATAACATGACGGAACTTGAAAACGACGAAGAAAGGCCGGTAACTGGATGTGTTTCGTTAAGATGTTGTAACCCAGTCAAGTTTATTTTTGATAAGTTTGAGTCGTTCGTCAGGAAGAAAGAAGATGACAAGGAAGAGAAGCGTGTTCACCTTAGGTTCGAGTCATTTCGTGCAAGTACAAACCCATTTTACATCAGCTACAAGTTTATTTACGGAAAAAAATGACAACACCATCAGCAACCCTCTTTACTATCTGCTGGACATGCAACAGAAGCTGCACAGACAAGCATGGTAATGTCATAGTTGTTACTAGGTTATTTGAGTGACACCTTTGAGATCACGTGACTGCTTATTGCTTTTGTCATATATCCGAGGACAAACCGAATCCAAGGAAAATTAAATAATATATATTTTGTATACTTAAGGTATCAGGGTACCCCAAAATTGCTCAAAAGTATCGATTTTTACATTTTTACATTTTGGGATAAAATATATAATATTCTTCGATTTCCCCCCTCAAAAAATGTTGATAGTGATTTTTAATAGCGAGTWATAAAAAAAATACGGTTTGTGTCAACAAAGACGCTTCCGCTCAGTCAGAAACATTTTTGCGTTTTTTCTCGGAAGTGATTTTGCGTTTAGCTTGCGTTCATTTTGAGCCCGTTGTCAAAGGGAATTTAACCGATTTAACTGAAAGTTTGAGGAAGTCATCTTGAATAGTTGTTCTTCAAAAGTGGGTATCCAATTTTTTATTTTTTGCTTATTTCCAAAGTTATCKTGAATTTTGGCTTGCATACCGGTGATATAGCAGCGTCATAACTTTAAGAACGTATAAAAAAGCAATGGAGCAACTAATCAAAAATCGGAGACACACTTTTGACAAGTGATGTCTTGTGATCTCGGAAAGGTAATAAACATTGGTGTCCGATCATTACCGGCTGTCATCAAACTCCGCGAAGGTGCCACGGTGAAAATTTGAATAATTCGCTCTAACTTAAAAGGATAAATGTATTTTACAAAAAGGAAAAAAGGAATAGTAATAGAAAATGTATACTTTGTTGAGGTTTCGATTAAAAGGTTTTGTGCTATTAAGAGTTGAATGCACAATGGTCGCTAGGGTTACCCTGATACCTTAAACAATACATATGTAAACTAGTTGGTCTGGCAGGCCTCAACAAGCAATTCAAATTTCACACAAACCTTATGACCTTGATAGTCGTTTTTTTTAGTTTCACAGTCAGAGACGCGTTTTTGTACGTTTCGTATGTGATGAGTGAGGCGTATCAGCATATATTAAGAATTATTTTCATGCAAAGTATAATTCGAGAACTTTTTTGAGCTAGATAGGGAATCCAGAGTGATAGAGAACCCCTTCAATATTATCTCGGAACGGATGCGATGTTATCATAAAATACTATACAAAAAAAATGAAAGAGAAAAAGTGTGCTTTCTTTAGTATTTTCATAATTTTGAAAGGAGTATCTACATCACTTTGGATTCCCTATCTCGTCTAAAAGCGCATAAATTAATTAATTTCCGTTGTTCCCGCTCGTTAACTGCACATGGATCAGCCGAACATAGTCCTCTTTACCTTCATTGTTTCCTTTAAGAGCAACCGTTAAACAAAAATACGATTCTTTAGGGAATGAACCGTGCCGTGACATAGGAAAAAAAGTTTATTCATTTTTTTTGTTTCAGGATTGACGATGAGTTCAAGGACGATTACGAATCATTGTCAGACCAATGCGAAAACTTCATGGAGGAACTGATGAATCAGTGTTGCAGCATCAGCGAGAAAAAGATGCTTACTAACGTTCTTCCTGACATCAAAAAAGAAAGGATTGAAAAATTCATCGTTATCCATTCCAAAAGACATGAAGTGAGGGATCTAAGTTTTCTCAATCTGGCTCTTAAAACTAAATGTGATAAGGTAAGAAAAACGCACTTTTTGATAGTTCTATAATACGCTTTATTGTAATATAATATATATTTTTATATAATATGCTTTACTAGTAAAAAGAATTTCAAAATATTCAAATTTTATCAAACCCTTACCTGAAACAACCTCTAGGCTGATCAAAGTCAGGGCACGGCTAACTCACAGATCAAACCCTGAAACAACCTCTAGGCTGATCAAAGTCGGGCAAAGCTTACTCACAGATTGAACCCTGGAACCAGCTCTGGGCTGAAAGTCAGGGCACCGCTAACTGACGGATTGAACTCTGAAACAAACTCTTGGCTGAAAGTCAGGGCACGGCTAAACCACAGATCGAACCCTGTAACAGCCTCCTGGTTAGCTCAGTTGGTTTGGCAACTATCTGTTGTGCAGGAGATCATCGCCGATTCAAACCACCAAGGTCGGACTCAGGGCCTTGAAAAATACCCACGAAGAATCTAGGGAAAGACCTAAAGCATTCCACTCACAAGCGAAGCCAAATCCGTTCAGGAATGGAATCGAATCCGAGCCCCCAGACATAATCGAGAAGCTAGTAAACTACCACTACGCCTGGCACCTTTGCTTCCTATCGGAAACCCCAATAAGAGTCCCGCATTGGTTGGTTGGTTGGTTGGTTGGTTGGTTGGTTGGTTGGTTGGTTGGTTGGTTGGTTGGTTGGTTGGTTGGTTGGTTGGTTGCCAGCTTCACTCTAACACCCCCACATAATAGTATATAGAGCCAATGTACTTACCAAGTCTTTCTCTTTTCCATTAGTTAATAGCTCATCCTTTCAACCAGCTCCAGCTAAACTCAGTGGTTTATCCCAACATAGCCACTTGGAGAAAAAGAAGCGTCTTTAGTGTTTTCATGTTCACACTTCGGCACTTCCTTCTCCTACCATTGCTAGCCATTGTTAATATATGTTCTCCTTGTGAGAATGGAATAACACGATATATGGACAATCCAATGATCAAGTTCATGAGTCATTTCTGGTCCATGTTATCATTTGTTGTTTTGCTCGTTGTTTCTTGCTTCCAAGACAAATTTGATGATGAGTTGGTGAAGTTAAGTATCCCAGGTAAGGACCAAGGATGCGATTTCTGCTTCACTTCTTATTTTCTTATATTATAGTTCTACATCTTCTAGTTCAGTGTTGTTTCATCAGTCTTTTTTTCAGTCTTGTTGTTTCATCGACTGGTTTTTGCCCGTCTTCTTGTAGTCGCTGAACACTGCTGCTACTGTGGCTGTTTTTGTTTTTGCTTTTGTCGTTGTTGCTGTTGTTTTTCTTATTGTTGTTGCTCTTCTTCTTCTCCTTTGTCTAGTACAACTATTGCTGTTTTTCTTGTAGTTGCTACTATTTTTGTTGATGTTTCTTTTTTGTTCTTCTTCTTAGTCGTCTTGTTGTTGTTGTCGTTTTCGTTGTTGTTGTTGTTGTTGACGTTGCTGTTCATGTTGATGTTCCTATTGTTGTTCTTCCTGTTTTCGTTTAATTGCTTTTCGTCTTTTTTTTTCTTTCTTGCTCTTGTTCATGTTTCTGTATTTGTTGTCATTCTTGTCATTCTTGTTCTTCTTGTTCTTCTTCATTCATTTTTCCTTTTTCTTAACTTATGTTAACTTGATTCTGATCCAAGCTGTTTATTCATGCCGTAGAGTGGATGATACTGCTATGGGTTGCTGGTTTTGCTGCTCAAGCCTTGGTAGAATTATCCACACAGGGGTTCTATCGCTATTTTGCCCAGTGGTGGAACTGGGTCATGATAGCGATGATTATTGTCTTCTCGACTTCATACAGCCTGAGGCTTATCGCATATGGAAATAATTTAAACTGGGATGTCTTGTACCATATCACATATTTCAGTCCTAGCATATGGTATAAACTCGTCCTTGTGGCTAACAGTCTGTTCTCAATAGCAATGGTCCTAAGCTTCGTTCGATTATCAGTGGTGTTCCAGGTGAACGATGTGATTGGCCCTTGGCAACTTTCACTTTACCACCTTATACTCGACGTCATAAAGTTCATGCTATTTTTTTCGATCTTTTTTGTTGCCTTTGATTTAAGTTTAAGGAAACTCTACTCGCATTACGTCATCACACAAAGGTATATAGCAAAAACTTCTCATAACGGGACAAACACAGAAACAGGCCATACATTTTCAAGGTAATCTGAAATATAGGTTTGTTGGCTTTTGCAAAGTATTAAAAGGCCGGTGCATTTTTTGGGAAGAGGGAGAGGGAGATGGAGAGGGAGAGGGGATGGAGGGATAGTTGTTAAGGCTAATGGAGAGTGAACACCTTCATGGGAAATCATAGATGCGCCCGTTGGTTCTAGTGATTGGCATGCTTTATTTGAAAGTTAATTGTCTGTATTTAAACCATCTTTATCTAGTGTTGGTTCTGGTGCTTACGATCTGTTCTGGTCCATATTTGGTTACACTGACCCGCAGATATTTCAAACGAAGGATCCCAATTTTACCATCACCAGAGAAACAGGAGTATTCCTGTTTGGGTTGTTCCAGGTACTCGCTGTCATCGTAGCTGTAAACATGCTTATAGCGATGATGACCAAATCATTCGAAAATATCACGGTAATCAATGTTCAATAATTACAATGTAGTTTATCTATTACTATGGGACTCAAATTGATATAGATCTACTGTCACCAATGAACTCACACGAAGCACACGTGCACCACATTTGGTATTCTATGTGTGCATTCTCACCTCACGTGTTGATTTTTCTGAGGAGAAAAAAAAGATCTTCGTGGCATATGGATCGAGAGAACAACAGTAAAATTCATTAAGATATTCTCATATGGTTCTAACTCAATTTACAAGCATCGCGCCAACCACCTGTCCTGTAGGAAGCATATCGGTGAAAGGCGAACGTTTTAGCGCAGCACCACCTTTGCCACCCTTGACTTTGAAAGAAATTAATATATGATATTTATTATAATAATTCAATATAATTTGATATTTATATTGCGCATGTTCCGAGGGAAATGTTCACATGCTCGTCTTGTTTGTATTAATACAGAGTAACGCGACAAAAAAATGGAAGGTCTCCCGAACTCGCATCTGGATGTTCTGGGTTGAGGAGGGCAGCAGTCTCCCGCCGCCTTTTAACCTTCTAATCGTATTAAGGAACGTGTTCAAGAAAATGAAGGAAACAATATGCCAGGTGAAGTACAATGCTATTTTAGATAATTATATCTTGACGTTTTCCAAGAGTTATTTAGTCTCCCCCACAGCCGCTTTCAGTGTCGTCACGCAACGCTTTCTCCCCTGAGTAGCGGCTGCTTACCCGAGCACAACATTCCTTTC